GCGGTACAGTGCAATGTTTAAATTCCTTAGGCTTTATATGGCCGATGCAGGCTAAGAAGGGGTGGATTACAAGTATTATTTCTCTTTTACAAACCTACAAAATAATCTCTCATACATCAGCAAGAAATCTGAAAAAGCTTTACAATTCTGCCTCATATGCGCTTGGGGAGAAGAAATTGGCTCCAAACATCCCAAAAGCTTCCCTGTTAATACATGTTGGCTTTCTCACTTAGAAAAAAAGTCCATCTCTCTTCCACAGAAAGTTCGTTGCCAAAGGTAAAATTCCAGTGTGAGGCTGAAGCTGGGGGCCAGCCTGGCTCTCCTCACCTAGCACTGAGCTCCCAAAAAGCAAAGCAACGGTGTTGGGGTTCGACCGCCTGGTGCAATGGGATGGGACTAGGTCACGGGCCATCCGCAGAGCTCAATACACTTCAGATCACAAATGTCAACGTACAGCTCAGCTACAGAACTCTTAGAGGAAGACATGGAGGTCATTCTTTAGAACCTTGGATTAAGCAGTAGTTTCTTAGATGTGACATAAAAGAGTAACAAATCAAAATAAATAAGTAGGACCTTTATGAACATTTTTATGCTTCAAAGACATTATCAGGAAAGTGAAAAGACAACCATGGAAAGGGAGAAAACATTTCCAAACTGTACCTCACACCGAAAGCCAATGAAGTTCGGACCTCCTGGGCCAATGACCCACGGAAGACCCTCAAGCCCCGAGGCTGATGCAGCACAGGGGACTCAGAGAGCCCCTGTATAGACAATGGACATGACAGTCCCTCTGAAAGGCGCCAGAAGGCCATGTGCTACGGCGTCTACTGGCTTTCCCTTCCTGTACCCTAAGAACATCTGGTGGCAGAGGTGGCCGGTTCCCTGGCAGCAATCTTGGTTACTCCTGTGAAAACACAGGTCAATTCCTTGAAAAAACCAGCAAAAAAGCACAGCAAGACCTGAACCCCTTACCCACCCACTGTGCCCTGTACCATGTAAGGCAGCAAAAAGGTCTCCTCACCTCTGAAGACCTCCCACAGGAGGCACGTGACTCCTGCTGCAATCCGACACACACTACTGCAAAGGGGTCTGCACCAGCAGGGTGGCACATGGTAGGCAAGTTGAATTTACAGAGATCCTTAGACCCATGTTTGCAAAAGGCTTACAAGTGCCTTTAAAAAAAAAAGGTACTGGATCCTAGCTCTTTGTGCACCTGCCCCCCTATACAGGATCTTGCCTAGGATGGGCTTGAATTTGTGGTCCTTTTACCCTGGCTTCCTAGAGAGCTGGCTTTTAAGGTTTAATAAGACTTAGGCCTAGCTGCTGCCCTACAGTCTAGGATGGGCTCAACCTGTGTTCTCCATGGGTATATGTCCATACCCAAGGGTCAGAGAAGGCTACTGTAAGGGGTCTAGCTTCACTCTGAGACCAGATGTCCAAGGAACAATGTCAGTGATAAAAGCATAATTTTCAAAGCTGGCCCAGACCTGGCCAAGCTAAGCAGGTCTAATAACCTCTTGATTTTTTTTTTTTTTTTTTGGTGGTACTGGGACTTGAACTCAGGACCTCATGGTTGCCAGGCAGGCACTGTGCTGCTGAGCTATATCTCTGGCCCCTTGAGTGGTTTCTTCTTCTGATCACTGCTTCTGCAAGCCAGGTTCAGTCCCTCCCTCCTTTGACAGCCATGGAAATGAAAGCACAGATACCACACTTGCCCCATGCCTGTCACCCTCATGGCCCTTGTTACACAACAAAATAGCCATCTCTAAGATCCCTTTAGTCTGAGGGTCATGGCCCTCTGGAACAGTGAGCCTTCCGTCCCTGCTCGGTCTGCCCAAGAGGGTAAGGCATATCTCAGCGTGCAGAGGGTGCCTCAAAGAAAACAAAGGCCATGGGGGAAAATGACAGTGGGTGGGGTGGGTAGGGCTGGAAGGATTTTAGATCTAACGGAAGCATACCTCTTCTCATTCTGATGGGACTAAAGTTTTCTACTGGGGAGAATTTCTCCTGCTAGACCAGGAGTTCACACCCATGGCGCTAGAATCCAGTGCCTTGATTTCACTGCCCCAACAAACAACATGCAAGTGACCAACTCTGGCAGTACCAGTCTGCTGCCACCATATCAGCCCCTGCACATTAGTCCCCACATGAAAAGCCGGGGGACTCCACCATTCTGAAGAGACACTGGCGATGACCCTGGCAAAGAGATGGGGGTCTCCTGGGTGCTGCATCAATCCAACTGTGTAGAGAAAAATAGCTGGAAGAAAATAGAAACATCCCAGTGAGAGACTGGGTGGGAACTGCCGTTTCTCATGTGGAAAACCGAACATGGCATCTGTCCCTCAGCTGAGCCTGCTGCAAGCCCTGCGCTTTGCTGTATTTTGGGAAAACAAAGGCATGACTGTGGCTGCAGCACTGGCACTTACATGATGCTCCCTTTGGCAGCAGGCACATGGAGAAATCAGGTAGCAGCAAACCTTTGGCCATAGCTGACATGTGAGGGTCACTGCCAGAAAGCCCTGCGGCGCGTGCCACAGTGGGCCAGGTCAGTGAGGGAGTGAGAACAGACCCAGCAGGTACTGTTGCTCATGCAGGTCTCATCTGAAGCCCAATAATCCTGCATATCTGCCGGCCTTGCTTCACTGACGCTCTGAACTGCTGCAAGAGACTGGCAAATAGAAGCCCATTGCTTATGTGCACAAAACCAACCAAGATGAAGCAAATGTTACAATATTCAAAGTATGGAAAAAAATAAAACTAGACACAAACAAAAACTCCCCCAAGCAGCTCTACTGTAAATACACCGATATCACCTCTCGAAAAGCATGGAAGAGCGCTGGCATTCTTGGCATTTCCGGTCCCTCCAAATTGAGTGGAAATGGTGGAGTTCGGTAAAACTGAAACAAAGCTGTATTCGAGCTGGCTGAGCCCCAAAGGAGAAACACTGCTGGATTAAGATTTTGAGATTGGCATCTCCTGGCTCAGAGGTCAGGTAAGCTGCTCGGCTTGGCCTCAGATCTGGATGCTTTCCTCAAATGCAAACACTACCCTCTCTGGGGCTTAGCAACCGCGCCAGGAGCAATGTCTACAGGCAAACCATCTAGACCCCCATGCCTACAACAGATCTAAATCTAGCTAGGTTGTAAAAAAAAAAAACCTACCATGCAGCTGAGAATCTACCCAGGAAGCCAAGCCCCTGGCCCCAGCCCTGACGGTACAGTATAATGCCACATGGAATGTGCGGCAAGGAATGAGGATGACAACTGCTGCTATGGGACAGATCGTTTGACAGGGAAATTTATTTGCTGGCAGACTTCCGACTGGAGCCTTCCTTAGTCTTGGCTCACTGCCACGCAAATAAAATAAAAATCAATATCCTTGGGTTTGCAAAAACAGTGTGTTAACAATCACACTCCAAACAACTTATATAATATCCCTTGCCCCATACCCAAATAACAGTGAATGTTTTTGTTAGAAGGCAGTGCAAAATAAACAGAAAAGGGGGGAAAAAAAAAAAGGCAATTTTGCAGGTCCTCCTTCAGCAAAACCTTTCCTCGACTTCAATGAGGAGATAATCTTTCTGTGATTATGACCAAACCCTCCGGTTGCTTAGCAACGCATAATTAAGGAATATGTTTTCAGATCCGCTTTGCAAGCCCAGCCATTATCAGATGAAATTACTGGAGCAACAAATGTCATCGCCATGCAAATTAGTTGGTTGCAAAGAAAGAATATTCGACTGTGAGAGAAGGCTCAGCCCCTCAGAAAAATTATTTGACTGCCCTCCTCTTGCACATTGATTTTAAAAAGTCAAATAAAGTATATGATCACACTTAAAAAGAAAAACCCATGAGACAAAACAAAACAAGAATCTCGAGCAACAGAAACCAGAAACATCCAGGCAGTGGAGAAAGAAAGTGCCTGAAGGTCGATTATGTGAAGCAACAGAGGCCATGACAGTTTCCCCGCAGCTCTGCCCTCCCATACAAAAGGCAAAGCTTTATCTCGGGGATTTGCGGATGACAATCACAGTTGTTTCAGGGGTACTGTACCAAGATAGATCTTATTTGTCACCATTGTATCTCCCCATAACACTGGTTACTCAGAAAAAAAAAATTATACAAAAGGGATTCACTTCTATAAACTATGATGGGGAGGTAAAGGAAGAAAACTGATACACATGTTAAATTTTTAGTGAAGATTCTATACAGTTATAATAAAAATTCTAATTGTTCAGAGGAGCAAGACCCAGAAGTTTAACCACAAAGTCCAAGGAAACATTTAATCAACCACATTTTGGCTCATGCTTTGCAGAAAACCACCTAGCGTCTATCTCCCTTCGGCAACTTGGAAATATATCCCTTCCTACAAGTAAGCAGAATTCCCAACTGCATTTTCCAAACTGAGATTAAATCTGTTTTTGAAACAGGGAGTTCCAAGGGATTCCAACATCTTGCTTTGTTTAACCCACAAGTGTGGCAACACACACATTTTTATCTCCACGGTGGTTAATCCTGCCTTTGATACCGCACACAGGCCCTGCAGAGGTATGCTCCAGCACAGTGAAGTATTTCAAACAGCAAATGAGCCATGCACAATTTAGTGAAGGTGTTTGATCGAACCCTCTTGCCTTCCCCAAAGCTACCCAAAGTGACCTAAGGAACCACCACGCCTCAGGTGCTGAAGCTCTGTTCTGGAGAACTTGAGTCTCCCCAGGAAACAGCTACAGCTCAGCACTCTAAGGGGGATCCACAAACCAAGGCGGATCAGCCTGATATGTAACTCTGCGGAACCCAAGACAGCTTGGGTCCATTGGCTAGCTAGGGAGCTGGAACAGTACTGTGGCTTCTGGTTTGGCAGGGTGTGTGCGTGCGCATATGTTTGTCTGCTCCTAAGCTGGCCCGTGGGAACTTAATATCCCGTGCTCAAACCTCCCCAAACCTTCCCAGTCACGTCCTCCCCCAGGCCCCCAGCTAGGGCAGGTGGGTAGGGTGTGTTACTTGGCTCTGGAGCAAGCATGGTGGACACGATGATGGGCGCCCCCGTCCGCCGGGCCACCTTCTGGTACGATGAGTGTGGTGTGTGGAGGCTTTGGCTGACTGGTGGCAAGGTAGATGGGTCCACAGGGACTCCAGGCTTCCGCAGGAGCTGGGGGCTGCCATGCGGGCTGGGCAGCGGAGAGGCAACCACACTGCGCTCCCGCTTCAGCAGCTCCATGGGCACCGTGTACGAGGTGGAGTAGGCTGTTCTGGGGCCTGTGGGGCCTGGGTTCGATAAGGCCACCCCAGCCTGCTGAGTATAAGAAGGACCCAGCCGCGCTGTGAGGGCACAAGGGGTGGGAGAGCTATACCCCGAGTTGGAAGGGAGATGGGGGGCTTGAGGGCCCACCCCAGGAGCAGAGTAGGTGGCTGTCTCCAGGAGGTGCTGGGAGGGTGCACTGGAAGGGCGGCGAGCCAGGTCTCCAGCTTGGGGGGAAGTCATCTGCAGGGGCCCTGGAGGCTGGGGCTGCAGGGCTGTGGCACCCAGAGAAGCTGAGTCACTGGGCAGCAGCTCACTCCGATGGCTGAAACTGCTGGACCGTGTACGGGGCAGGGGGCCCATGCGATTCTGCCTCCGAAGCTGCATCTCGGTCCGGCAGCTGCTGACCAAGCGGCTCAGGACGCGGGCCTGGCCGAGGTTGGGCGCAACAGACTTGATGTCTGCGTCCTCCAGGGTGGCCAGGGCAGCGGGAGAGTCGAAGCCTTGCTGCAGGAGGGCCGCCAGAGTGGCCTCTGCCACACCCTCTGCCCGCAGCAGCGCCAGAAACTCTGGGAGCACACTCCTCTTGCCACCGGGTCCCTGGAACACAGGCAGGTCACCTTCGTAATTCTCATAAGCCAACTTAGAGTGGACATTTTCCCGGGGAGGCCCATAGCCTCGATTCAGGGAACCTGGGGCTATTCCCGTGCTGCTCTCAGAGGGAGCATCTGAGCCGGGGTCCACAACCAGGCACGTCGGAGCCATCTGTCTGGCGGGGTTAGAATCAACAGGTCTCTCGCCAACGTTGTTGTACACCTGACTGGATGGATAGGCAGCTGTCTCTGCCCCGAACCTGGCATCCGGCAGTTCCCTTCCATAACGTCCAGGAGACGGGGCCCTGCCCTTCGTCCGCTGCCCCTGAGGGATCATTTTATCCCCAGGATCCCGGTACAGGTGGCTGATGTCCTGCAGAGCAGGTAGTTGGCCTTGTACCTGCTCCCACGGCACTCTGCTGCCAAGTACTCCGTAGCTGGGCACTGGCTGGCCAACTCCTGGGTCCCGATAGTAGGGTGGCTCCTTGGGTACCTTTGTGCCTCTGGATGGGTCGCTGTAGTAATCCTGTGGCAGGAGGGCGCCACGACCAGACATCACTGCCTGTCTGCTGTTGTAGAAGGTGACGTCGGGAGCAGAGCCCTTCCTCGCGGCCAGTGAGTTATAAAAGGCCTCCTGGTACAGGTAGGGCTCGGGGCCCCGGGGCAGGGTGGCGTCCTGTGCTCGGTGGTTTGACAGCTCACACCAGGGCCCCTCGGCCGAGCCATACGTTAGAGAGCTTCGCCTTCCCAGGGGTGGCAGAACCTCAGCATGCTCCCAAGGGCCCTCATACCAGCCAGCAGCATCCCAGCTCTGTGAACGGCCAATGTTGATATGCCTGCTGGGAACCGGCATCGGCAGAACAAATGACTGCAGGCGAGGCAGGAGAGGAAGGCTTTCTTCATAAATCTTCAATTACATACATCAAAACCAGGCCTAGCTGTATGTGAACCCTTCTGAGACGCCAGGAACAACCAACTGGGGATTTCTGTTTCAAAGTGCAGCCTAAATTATTAATCCTCCGAAACCTTAGCAGGCTAAACAGCAGACTCACGGTAACTTTGCCTCACTCCCCCAACAGTAGCTCGGAGGTCTGTCTTGTGCAGCTCCATCCCACAAAGGAGGCTGTCCTGCCGGTGCCCCTACCTAGCTGCTGGGCTCACATGGACTGAAGCTCTCTCAGCATGCGGATTAAGAGCTAAATAAAACCCTTAAAGCTTTTGTTCCATGTGACATCTCGTTAGACTGATGAAGCCGGCAGCCTGCTCCATCCGGACCTCCCAACCTGCAGCTGGGAATTATCCCACACTGTAGCTCCAGCTGATCTGCCTCCTCTCCCCTCACCAGGGTGCTCTTAGGACAAGCATTAACTCCCTTTCCCTTCTGCCCACCCCCACTGGGTTGCTTAAAAGTGGCAGACAGCAAAACAAGACTGCTTCGATGTTGGTCCAGTCTTAATCCTGCCTGATGAAGCGTTAATCCATCACAGACAGCTAAGACCAAACCGAATGCTGCAGGTAGGAAAGTCTCCTATGCAATTGTACAGAATAAGGTGCGCCGAGGCGAGGGCCAGGACCGCAGCCTGATGCTCTGCCGAAACTGGACGTCTGGTTCTGGATCCAATGTGTTAAAATGGCTCAAAGCCATACAGATTCCTTAACCTTACGACCTTGGTAAAGTACCGATGCTTTCATACTACCAGGGGGATAAAACCAAGCGCATGGGTAACCTAGCATTTATCATTTTAAGACAACAGCAGAAAGGAAACGCCCTGACACGGTGACACAAGACAGGAAGCTGCTGCAACCCCAGGTCATCTTCCTGAAAGGTGTGTGAAAGGGAAGCCCCACGTTTCCAGCTCGCTGGCAGGGGAGGCAACGAAAACAAGAGGAGCTGCTGAGGCAGCCACAGCGGCAGGCAACATTGAAATATTTTTAAATGAGATCACCTACATAGTTGTAGCCATTAAACATAAGAATATCAAGCCTTCACCCACATCACGCTCAACTTAAGATTCAATGAGAATCTTCGAACAAAAATATTAGTCATTTCAAAAGGAAAAATAGTTTTAGTTACAGTGTGAGAAACACTGAAGATTTACTGTGAGGTGGGAAGGTGAGTATAATTCCATTACCAGGACCTGTGCATGCACTGTAACAGCAGGCTATCTCACTCCGCCTACCTTGTATCCTGAAAGGTACATATTAACACTTCGGAACAAGCTCTGCCGAAGCCATCCCTGCGGCCCCAGGAATGCAGGTCTCCAAAAGCCAGAACTTCCGGGTTCACTGCTGAGCCAGTGAGCAATTAGCCTGAGGGGCCCAGAGACACAGCCTAGGTGACCCCAAAGCACACAGCCACCGCTCCAACACCATGGCCCCTATTTCTGACCCCAGTGCTAACAAACTGTCTGGGAAAATGCCATGAGGTAAGTAACAAGGAGACCAAAATACTCCCCTGGTCTCCCCACATCCTAGAATGCATTCAAAAGGTTAAAAAAAAAAAAAAAAGGAGGGGCCAGGGCGCCAAAAAGCAGCCATGCTGAAACATGCTGGATTTTCATGTATGCATTCACGAATGCATTCATTCTTTTGGTGCCAATTTCTGTAGTTTTTCCCCCTGGTATATTCGCAATTATGGGAGAGGACTGGGTAAATAAGATGGTGGGTATGATCTGGCCAAATGCAAGCCAGTATTTCCACAGCTCTGGGATGGGTTTACTGAGAGGATACACCAAGAGCCAGGCAAGCTGGACACAGTGGCCCACACCTGCGAATCCAGCACTCAGAGGGATGAGGCAGGAAGAGCTCAAGTTTGAGGCAAGTGTCTCAAAATAAAAACAAAAAGGACTGGGGATGTAGCTCAGCGCTTTCTGGGTTCAACTCCCAGTACTAGAGAATAGAACTAAGCAACATAAAACAGAAACCACAGGGAAAACACTGCAAAGCCTGGAACTAAAAGGCCGCTGCAGGACTCCGCACTGCACAGGGAAGCATGTGCTGCTGCGCGGGCGTGGGCAGGGCTCCTCCCTCCACATCTGGGACCCCCAGCGTGACATGGCAAAGCCTCAGCCAAAGACAAAACACTGCCCGGGTAACCTCCCCCAGGGAGCAGCTCAGATCTGCCCCTCTCTTCCATTCTTGGGCTTCTTGGAAGAGGGGCTCTACAGGCATCCTGGGGTAGGGTGATGCCACTCACTGGGGCTCCCACCCCTCCTCCCACTGCAGACAGACAACACAGCCGGCAGGCAGGATGGACAGCCACAGCCATGACACGTACTTATCCATCAGCAAAGCTTCAAAATGAGGTGACCACTGTCAGCATGTGTGGAATGTCCACTATGTTCTCAGCCCAGCACAAGGTGTTTTAGCCAACTGCTGGTCTAACTCAACCCAAGAGAGCGCCATGTGTGGATGTGATGTCACATCACAGATGCTGGGGGATGTAGGGGTGAGGACCTTTCCCAAGGTCACAGGACATGGAAGTGGCAGCACTGGGCAAAGACGTGAGGGCTGGATAAAGAACTCCCGAACCAAACCAAAGAGTTCCACTCTTCTCAGGTGGGACAAGGGAAACTTATTTAATGAAGTAATACTGATAGTTTCTAGACGATTGGCAAACAAAAAAAACCACACTAGCTCTCCCTTGATTATCGGAAATGAACCTCAGAGGTCAGAGCCAGGACCCCTACTCTTTAACCAGCAGTCAGCCACTGGTCAGCACTTTGGTACTAAGTCACATGCCTATGCTTTGCCTTTCCGTTCTCTTCCCTTCCCGTTCTTGTGTTAGCATTAAGTGACCCAGCCTGTGGTGCAGACAGGTTCCTTCAGAAAGCGGAATCAATTCAGGGCAGAGCAGCCTGGGAATAAGCCCTGCGCCGTGTCTTTCTGCAAAGGGTGGCTCCTGGTGGCTCACTGGCTTACTGCCACGCTAAGACTGTGTGCTCCAATCCAAGAAGGACCAGGCTGGAGACTGTTAACCCCTGAGCTCCTAAAAAGCCAGCAATGCTTCTTAGTTGAGCTTTGGCAGTGAGTGGCATCAGAGGGGTAATCTCAGGGGCAGGGTGGCCAGCAGCGGAAGACGGGCTGCAGGGTAGCTTTATTTCTGCTGCACAACAAGGAGGCCCAGATTCTGCTCCCATCAACTTCCAGCCCGTTCTGCTTGGAAGCCACCCAACCTCACACAGCCTCGGCTATGCAATCTGCCAAATATTATGACAGATGTTTTCCTCTGTTAGGCAGAAACACCTGGAGCTGGACTCAAACTTTTCCAAACACTCTGGCACTCCTTTTATAAAAAAAAAATTGCCGTCTTTTACGAAGGGCTGTTTTTCTGAAAAATTGCATTGTAACTAAAAGAGGCAAGATAGGACCAGTCTCTGAAACAGCGAAGAGTTTCATGGACTTAATTTTTTAATCCTGCAAGGACTGTCTCTATAGGAAATTATACAAAGAAAAAATAAAATGACCGTCTAAAGTAAAAAACCATTTTCCAAAAATTAAGAAAGAATAAGAATCTCCTCTAGACAAAATAAATCCAAAAAAAGGCTGATTGTGAAGTGCCAACCTCAGGGTCCCAAGTGACACTGGCCCCACACTCATCCTGGAATTCCTTGTGCAACTTACAGCACAAATTTACAAGTGCAGAAAGCTAGCTACAGAGACTCAGAGTTCAGGGGCTGGAGATTTAGCTCTGCGGCACAGTGCCTGCCTGGCAAGCACAAAGTCATGAGTTCAATTCCTGGTACTGGAAGGAAAACAAACAAACAAAACAAAAAAAAGAGACCCAGAGTTCCACAAGGTTCCAAACATTTCCAGAACCCAGAGAAAAAGCACGGATGGGGACAAGGGCTCCTGCACCAAGAAGCAGTCCCTCGATAAGCATTCCTTGTCTGACTGGAGCCACTGGGATGGGAAAGGACTTCTCTGTGAGTGTAGTCACATAAAACAGAAAATCAACGTCAGGCAGAATCAGAAAATCTAAAGGATGGGCCATTGAGAATATCACTTGGTCCAACTGCCTGTTCCCCACCAGCTTGTTGCCCCCTGACCATAGAGGGACATATGTTGCCAGGTTGGTCTCAGGGCCTCTGAGAGAACAGTTCACACTTAGGGGCAGCCAGCCTAAACTGGGTGCTAGGTGGAACTGCCTTTCCTACGGGGGACCAGCACAGGCAGGGCATCCATCCTCTGGTCCTCCTAAAGCCCTGGCCCACAAGAAATGAGAACTTCCCAAGGCTCTCCTGTGGGGAAGGCCACAGCCCGCCACTGCCAGTGTGCAGAGGTGTGGACACTGTCACTGGAGCAGCGTGCACCAGGGATGCTACTGTAGTTGGTGGGTTATGTACACTGTCTTCTGGCAGAGACAGGGCCAAAATGGGCCTATAAAAGACTTACTTCCTGTTTCAAATGTGCCCAGGTTGTATTAATTTTTCGAATGTTTTTGTGAAGTGTTTTACAGTTTTCTTTTAAAAAGCTTTCCCATCTTCAAATACAGTGTTCTTTTCTTCCAGCCACTACCAAAGTAACTTGCTTCCTGACCTAACTCAAAGGCAGGCAGACCCCAAGGTGCACAGGTAAAATGAGCACTGACTAACAGGGTTTTAATGCAGCCAACATCGGATTTACACACGCACAGGGAAAATGATGTGAACTGTAGACATCAGGGAACCAACGGACATGGAGCAGCCGTGGCTGCATGGTAGTGCTAGCACACAGGCTCTGTGGCGTGAATGCCACTCTCTAAGGAGAATCAGAGTGACAGGAGCGTCAGCACCTACCAACCCTTTCAAGATCCACTATGCCCTCAACGGTTCCTAACCTCAGTAAATCAGTATTAGCCAGATTCAGTGAAAACCAAGACTGCATATTGCTTCACGCCCCAT